AATACTATTCAGATAACAATTATAGCCTAAAATTAGAAGACTACTCAGAAAATAGTTTTTCTCCCTTTATTTCTCAAAGAAATAGAAATTTAAAAGAAGAAAATAATAAGGAAAAACATATGAATAAAATAGAAATTTTAAATAAATGACAAATCTGTAGAAAATACAATATACTCAAACTGACACAATAAGAAATGGAAAACCTGAATAATCTTAAAACTCTTAAAATTTGAATCCTTTACTTAAAAACACTTTCACAAGTAAATTCCAAGTTTAGGTTAACTTCTTGACAAGTAAGATATATAAAGAAAAAAATACCAGTTGTACACAATTCTTCAAGAGAAAAGGAAAAGAGGGAAGATATGCTTTCTCATTCCTAAAGTTAGCATAAACTTGACACCAAAAACTGAAAAACAATAGAAGAAAAGAAATTTCAGATCATTACACTCATAAATACACAAGCAAAAACCTCAAACAAAACAATAAAGTAATCCAGCAATATATAAAAAATATCTAGATGAGCTTATTACAGGATTATAAAATTTGTTTTTGGTAACCAAAAAGGTGACATAAGGACTCCAGGCTCCATCCCTCATAATGATGAACAAGTTGGTAGCTATCTATGAAGAAAAACAACTCTGGTGGGAGAGCTCTAGAGTTCATGTAAGAAACTTTAGCAACACAATGCAACAACAACAACAACAACAACAAAACAGAATAATTATATGAGAAGAGATGTGTTTAAGCTTACCCCCCAGGGTATGGTATTTGGAGGTGGGGCCTTCATAAAGTGATTAGGTCACATAGGTGGAGCCTTAATGAATGTGATTATTGCCTTTATAAAAGAGACAAAGAGACTCCAGAGAGCTCCTTATCTCCCGTCCTCTGTGTGAGGATACACAGACAGATGGCTCTTATGAGCCAGGAAGCAGACTCTCACCAGACACAAATCTGCTCATGCCCTCATCTTGGACTACCCAGTCCCCAGAATTGTGCAAAATAAATAAATTTCTGTTGTTTTTAAGCCACCCAGTCTATGGCATTTTTGTTATAGCAAACCATTACCAGGATCATATAATATGACTCAATGAGAACTCCCTAGGATACAAGGATGGTTCATCACATGCAAATAAATAAATGTGATACATCACATTAATAGAATGAATGGTGAAATATAATCAGCTCGATAGATGTAAAAAAAGGATTTGAAAAAATATAACATCTTTTCACGAAAAATTCTCAACATAATGGTTATAGGAGGAATGTACCTCAAAAGAATAAAAGCCACATATCACAATCCCAAGACTAGTGTAATGGTCAATGGTGAAAGGGTAAAACTTCCTTTTGAGATCAGGAACAAGACAAGGATGCGCACTCTCACTACTCTTATTTAACATAGTACTAGAAATTCTTGCCAGAGCAATCAGGCCAGAAAAAGAAATCAAAGGCCGAAGAAATAAAATGAAGAAGTAAAACTGTCACTACTTACAGATGCCATGATACTATATATGGAAAACCTAAAAGACTGTCAAAACATGCTAGAACTAATAAATGAATTCAGTGACATCACAGGATATAAAATCAGTATACAGAAATTTGTGGCATTTCTATCCCTTACCAACAAACTATCAGAAAGAGAAATTTAAAAAACAATCTCATTTACTATTGCATCAAAAAAGAATAAAATACCTAGTAATAAATTTAGCCAAGGAGGTTAAAGACCTGTATACTGAAAACTATAAGACAATGATGAAAGAAATTGAAAAAGACAAATAAATGGAAAAATATACCATGGTCACGTATTGGAAGAATTAATATTGTCAAAATGTCTATACTACCCAAAATAATCTGCACATTCAATTCAATCCCTATCAAAATTCCAATGGCATATTTCACAGAACTAGAACAAATAATGCTCAAATTTATATGGAATCATAAAATATCCCAGATGGCCAAAGCAATCTTGAGAAAGAAGTAAGAGGTCTCCTTGATTTTGAAGTATGCTTCCTTGATTTTGAAGTATGCTTCAAAGCTACAGTAATCAAAACTGTATGATATTGGTACAAAAACAGCCACATAGATCAATGGAAAAAACTTGAGAACTCAGAAATAAACCCATACATATATGGACAATTAATTTATGACAAAGAAGCCAAGAACATACAATGGAGAAAGGGCGATCTCTTTAATAAATGGTATTGGGAAAACTGGACAGCTACATGTGAAAGAACAAAACTTGATCACTATCTTATACCACACAAAAAATTAACTCAAAATGTATTAAAACCTTGACTGTAAGACCTGAAACCATAAAATTCCTAGAAGAAAATATAGATGATAAGTTCCTTGACATTGATATTCATGGATCTGACTCCAAAAGCCAGGGAAACAAAAGCAAAACTAAACAAATGAGACTACATCTACCAAAAAAGCTTCTGCACAGCAGTGAGAAACCATCATCAAAACAAAAGGCAGCCTGCTGAATGAGAAAAGATATTTGCAAATCATACATCCAACAAAGGGTTAATATCTAAAATATTGAAAGAACTCATACAAAAAAAAAAAAAAACCTTATTAAAAAATGAACAAAGCCTCTGAATAGGTATTTATCCAAAGAAGATATATGGATGGCCAACAGGCACATGAAACGATGTTCAGCCTAACTACTAGGGAAATGCAAATCAAAACTACAGTGTGATATCACCTCACACCTGTTAGAATTATCAAAAATACAATAAACAACAAGTGTTGGAGAGGAAGAGAGCCTTGGTACACTATTAACAGTAGTCTAAATTTGTACAGCCATTATGGAAAACAGTATGGAGATTCTTAAAAAAAATAATAATAATTAGAAATAGAACTACCATATGATCCAGCTATTCCACTGCTGGTTATTTATCTGAAAAACATAAAAACATTAATTCAAAAAAATATATGTACCCTTATGTTCATTGCAGCGTTATTTACAATAGTCAAAATATAGGAACAACCTAAGTGCCCATCACTTAGGCTGGATAAAGAAGATGTGATATATATCATGAAATACTACTCAGTCACAAAAAAGAATGAAATCTTGCCATTTGCATCAAATGGATGGACCTTGAGAATATTATGCTAAGTGAAATAAGTCAGAGAAAGACAAATACCATATGATTTTAGTCATATGTGGAATCTTTAAATAATAAATAAATAAATGTACAAATAAAACAAGACAAAGCTCTTGGTACAGAGAACAGATTGGTGGTTACTAGAGGGAAAGGGGGTTGGGTGGACAAAAAGAATGAAGGGGTCAATTGTATGGTGATAGATAGTAACTAGACTTTGGGGGTGATCACTTTGTAGTGTACAAACATATCGAATTATAATGTTGTACACCTGAAACTCATATATATTTTTAAAAGACAAGAGATAGCAAATGTTTGCAAAAATGTGGAGATAAGGGAACCCTCGAGCACTATTGGTGGGAATGTAAATTGGTATAGCCATTTTGGAAAACAGTATAGAGGTTTCTCAAAAAATGAAAATGAGAAATACCTTGTGATCCAGCAATCCCATTTATAGGTATATATCCAAAGGATACTAAATCAGTATCTCAGAGAATTACTGTATACTCATGTTCATTGCAGCATTATTGACTGTAGTCAAGATATGAAAACATCAACACTTTAAGAGGATAAAGTGTGATCCATATACAATGGAATACTATGCAGCCATACAAAAGAGGGAAATCCTGCCATTTATGACAACATAGATGAACCTAGAGGACATTATATCAAGTGAATAAAGCCAGACACAGACAAATACTGTAGTATCTCACACATGAAATCTCAAAAAGTCAAACTCATAGAATCAGAAAGTAAAGTCGTGGTTGTCAGGAGTTTAGGTGGTGGGGGAAATGGGGAGATGCTGATCAAAGCAAACAAACTTTCAGTTAGAAGATCAGTAAGTTCTGAGGATCTAATGTATAGCATGGTGACCCTAGCTAATACTGCTGTGTTATACACCTGAAGTTTGCTGGGATGGTAAATCTTATTCTCACCACACACATACAGAAAATGATGACTATTTTAGGTAATGAATGTGTTAATTAACTTGATGGTGGTAATCATTTTACAATGCATACATACCTCAGATCATCACATGTTATTCCTTGAACATATACAACTTTTATTTGTTAATTATACCTCAATAAATCTGGGAAGGAAAAAGTCATGAAGAATGGTTGTGAGGGGCTGGATATGTTCATTTTCTTGGATGTGATGATGATTTCATGAAAGTATATGTGTCAAAACTTATCAAACTGTACACTTTCACATTTGTAGTTTTATATCATTTATTTCTCAATAAAGACATTTTTAAAATAGTGACAATTATTTTTTAAAATGTCCTTGATAGAGTATTGTATAGCTTTTAAAAGTACTAGTTAAAGAGTTTATAATGACACAGAAAATACTTAGGATATCTAGCAAGTTATAAAAGCAGGATACCTAAATACAAGTATTAAGTTGACACTATGCAAAACAAAATTTTAAACAATAAACTCAGATAAATAAAACTTGCTTAAGAAACATGCAAGTTATCTCTGTGAGGTAGGGCTCAACTATAACTTTTCTTTCCCTGTAATTTTTAATATTTTACAAATTTTCTAAAATTGGCATTTAATTTTTGTTGTAACATAAAAACCAAACAAAAATTTATTTATTTAAAATTGAAAATGCATATGGTCCTCAGGTCTCCATTAGTACTTTTGGAAAACCTAAGGATGGGGGAGCAGTGACTTGTCAAAAGCAGAAGCTGTCGAACAGGAAATGGCTGTCAGTTTTTCCCTCACATAAGCAGTGCCGACTGAGCTGCCTCAGGGGAGAGCAGTGTAGCATATCTGCCTGGAGAAGGGCATACCCCAGACCTGACAGCTCTGTACAGGACCGGGTGCCCAGCCTTCCCTTTCTGCTCTCTGACAGTCAACGTCCAGCCCTGCCACCAAGCCTCCTTACCTAGCCATGAAGCCTCTTCTCATTGTGTTCGTCTTTCTCATCTTTTGGGACCCAGCACTGGCAGGTAAAATGGGAATCTTCCTGGGGAAGTGGGGGCGGGGCGGTGGGGTGTCCTTTGTCTAGAAGAGAAATTCAACTAAGCAAACCTTTAAATGTCCTCCCACCATGGACCCTTTAATTTTCCAAGTGGAAAAAACATCAACTGCTTCAAAGTCAGCAAGGCCTGAGCTTGAACCTTGGCTCTCCGACTTGCTAGCTGTGTAGCTTTAGCCAAAGTCTGAGCTTCTCTGAACCTTATTTTCTTGACTTAAAAAAGGGAAATAATAATATTAACCTTGGAGTCCTGCAAGGTTTAAATGAACTACGTATAGAATAAATCTGTGCATAAAACACGTACAGTACTTGGCTTATGAGCGCTATCATTATATTTTTATTAGTAATACCTTATCCTGTTTTGCCACTATTTTGTCTCTAATTCAGGGACATATCTAGGCATAATAGTCAAAACCAACAAAGTGATAACTCTTTGTTAAGATTGTTAATATACTGAAATTGCTTATAGTAAAATTACTATTTGTAGATTCCTTAGGTACATGGTGAAACAGATTTGGAACTGCTTATTCCAAGAGAATTAATGAGCTTTATGTGATACAAGAAATGTCTGATTAGATGAAATAATAGCTAGTGAGACTTGAGGAAGAACACTGACTGGCCTCATGTTCTAGTTTGACTATATCCATTACCGACTTTAGAAATCTCATCTTGAATCAATCCAAATCCATATGTTATAAGGTCCTATTTAATTTCTTATCCTCCCTGAAGTATTCTCTAGGCAAATGAATCAGATTTTCAGATCATGTGACTCAACAGGCTGGATTTAAGAATTCATAGGATCCAGGCCTCTTGAAATTGTTGATGGGACCAGTTCCACTATGGCTTATGGCAATGGATTCATGGTCTCTAGACAGTCAACAAACAACTATATACACTCTACAATATTCCTTCTAGTGTCTTATACATTCCCATAGCTTATCAATTCCATAGGAATTTCTTATCTCGTGTACAGACTATTATACTTCATCTTCTTTGGCTCTATTTTGTGAGCTAAGCACCCCTGATCCCTTCTTTTTTCCTATAGGACAATTATCCTCCAGAGCATGATGACTTGGATAGGGTATGTGTTGACTCAGAATACCCACAGATGGACAAATATTGGCACTCTTGTTTTTTTAACACCCTCTTACATTTAAACATAAAGAAACATTTATATTTTGATGATTCTGTGGAGTAGCATGTCTACAAAATTGTAAGCGCAACTCAGATGCCTTGGCTCCAAAAAGACATCCCAAATCTTCAGAATTAATTTCCTTCTCCTCCATACTCACACCATGCCATGTTGCAAATGTTTCACTGGATTTGTCATGGTTTTCTCCTCTCTCACAGATATTTTGTATTTCTTCTGCTTTTGTCTAGACTGAAAATTCTTTACAATCAAGGTCTATATCATACTCCAATCTGTACCCCAAGAGTTCGGAAAGAATAATAATTAAATAATGAGTTAATGACTACATACATAAGTAACTTGGTTGTTTAGAGTTTATTAACTAACCAATTTGGGCAAACTTCCAAGTTGCTAATTGTCTTAGTCAGCTCAGACTACTGTAACAAACTATCAGAGACTGTTTAAATAAAACTTATTTTCTTATAGTTCTGGAGGCTGGACAGTCCAAGATCAACTGCAGATCGATCCAATTTCTAATAAGCTATCTTCGTGGCTTATAGACAGCCATCTTCCTTTTCTGTCTTCCACCAACAAGGCCATCAATCCTATTAATTTAGGCCCCCAATTCTAATGCATTGAGGCCTCACTTTTAGGATCTTATTTAACTTTATTTACCTCCTAAAGTCCCTGTCTCCAAATACAGTGACACTGAAGATTAGGATTTCAGCATGTGAATCAAGAGGAGAGGGGGAACAACACGACTCAATCCATAGCACTAGTTAATTCTTTTCAGTCAATCGATTTGATCAGAATCAACTGATTCAAACAAAATTGATCATTATGACCTAGTATCCTTGGAATTCAGTGTGATAAAAATGAAAGAACTCATCATTTTGTAGTCCAAAAAGGCCTATAAGTGAATTATCCTTCCATTTGTTTTCTTCTCAGGCTTAAATCCAATATCATCAGAAATGTACAAGAAGTGCTATGGAAATGGTATCTGTAGACTTGAGTGCTATACAAGTGAAATGTTAGTTGGCTACTGCATGTTTAAGCTGGAGTGCTGTGTCAAAGGAAACCCTGATCCCTGACCTGAGAAGCCAGTGAGTGCCAATTAACTTAAAGGTCCATGACCACCCCCCATCCTTCACACAGAGAAAGAATTTAGATTAAATTGTGACACTGTGATATGCCCACAACTGTGGGTTCTTAGCATTTTTTATAAGCCTTCAGATTCTTATAATTTTTTTTATTTTAAGAGCTGAGCTGCAGCCTTTCTAAGAACAGCTAAGCTTCTCAAGAAAACAACAGACACACAGACCAATAGGACAGAATTGAGAGCGCAGAAATAAACCCCCGTATGTATGTGCAAATAATTTTCAACAAAAGAGCCAAAAACATACAATGGAGAAAGGAAAGCCTCTTCAATAAATGGTGCTGGAAAAATTGGAAAGTCACATGCAAAAAAATGAAACTAAACTGCTATCAAAATTAACTCAAAATGGATCAAAGACCTGAATATAACACCTAAAACAATAAATGGCATAAAGGAAACATAGGTACTTAGATTTAGAGAGGATTTTATTAATTCGGCTTCAAAGGCAAGGGAAGTAAAAGTAAAAATAAATGGATGAGACTATATCAAATTAAAAGGCTTCTGCACAACAAAAGAAATCATCAACAAAACAAAGAGGCAATCATCTGAACAGGAGAAGGTATTTGACTAATGTCCAAAATATACAAAGACCTCACACAACTCAACAATAAAAATAAAAATCCAATTAAAAAGTGGACAGAGATGGAGTTTCCTCAAAAAACTAAGAATTGATCTACCATATGATCCAGCAATCCCTATATTGGGTATTTATCCCAAAGATTTGAAAACCCATATCCGAAAAGATATTTGCACACCGATGTTCATAGCAGCATTATTCACAGTGGCCAGGACATGGAAGCAACTGAAGTGTCTTAGATAGATGA